ATAAAGGTCATATTTGTGGAGCGCTTATCTGAACGATGTCCTGCGAACACATTCTGCCGTCTGGGCTGTGAATCACTGCAGCTCCCCCAGAGCCTGCCGGTTCATCTTGTTCATCTTCAGAGATTACAATCCCTCCCAGTTTTCTCCAGAAATGTCACAACAGCCAAAAAAAACAAAAAAACAAAAAACCACAAAATATTTAGGGTTCTGATCTTCCCGACCGTTTTGAGCCTGGTGAGAGATGAGAGTGAGGGCGGGTGGGAGAGGAGCGCTACCTTCAGAGAGAGAGGAGAGGAAGCAGCCACCCTGAACCCCAAAACAACTCCGCGGAGCCACGCCCAAGCCGTTTTTCTCTGAGTCCTCCCTAAAAACCACCTCCTGCAACACTGCGGAGACAAGAGCGTGAAAGAGAAAAAGCAGATAGAGTTTTCTTCGTCCATCCCCTCAAAAAAAAAAAAAAAAACAGAACAAAAAAAAAAACAAAAAAAGCACGAGCCACGGCTCACCACACAATCTCACACTCGCACAGTCGGGACGGTGAAGAGGCGCTCACCTCCACGCCATTTATTTCCCCTTAACAACATGCTTTAGAGCTGGTAAGATATGCAATCTGGAGCCATGCTTCTAACTGGTCTGTGTCTATAAAGTTTTGCTATCTTGAAGCACAGCAAATAGAACGGAAAAAAAAAACAAAAAAACAAAAACAAAACAGTATTTAGGTGCTAATAAAGTTAGCTGCTGTTTCTGTGACTTCTTAATGGATGCTACGCAGACGATCAAACCTTACCCGGGTAATGGTGGATCCCGTTGGTGAAGACAGCCTCTGCCGGCGGCTGCCCGTTCGCCTGGGGCGGCGGCATGCCAGTAAAACCATTAACGCTAATGGGGGAGGGGATGCTGGTCACTGTGGGGGCGCTAATGCCCGGAGGAGTGCTGCCACCTGCAGTAACAGAAACATTGACAAACATTGTTTTTTTTTTTTTTTTTTTTTTCAATCTCTTCCTGAAGACATGATGGGAAAGTTCGGTTTCGACCGGCTACCGAGTCACGAAAATGTCAGAGGGGCTGGTCCAATGGACCGGTGAAGACGCTAAATGTCAGGGCTGATTCCTTGGCCCCGTGTGACCCTCAGGGTTACACAACAGCCATTAGACCTGAGTCTCTGAGCTAATCCTGCAGAGCAGTGGAAAAAAAAAAAAAAAAAAAGGTGTGGGCATCTTTCCAGCCGCAGATGGATTCTTGGAATTTGAACCATTTGCTTTAATGCATTCTGAGCCAATCGCAGTGGGTTTATTTTCACCTTCAGCGACGGCTCCAACGGTTAGTATTGACACCTCTGACAAGACTTAAAATAAACCGTTGTCATAGAGACTTGCTCGGTGCTAATAATGCTGCTATTCTTCGTGGAAGTTCTTTCTTTTCTTAATATTTTGTTTGCTTTTGAAGTGAATGTTCATCGGGAACGAACCGCTGATGACCAGTTTCACCTAATATATATAAAAAAAATAAATAAAAAAAAGTCCCCTGAAATTCTTCTATTTTGTTAGAATTAAGAATGCTATACCTCCATGCTAGCTGTTCCCCCACAGACCTTTAACCCCTGACCTCCGGCACTGTTACCTGACGTGGGGGTCAGCGGTGCTCCGGGGAGGCCATTGATGGTGGCCATGTGCTGCATCTGGGCTGCTGCGAAGGCCGCCATAGGACTAAGGTAGCCCCCCTGTCCTACAGACGCCATCAACGCCGCCTGCTGCTGCACCTGCAGGCGGAGGATGAGGAGGGGGAGGAGGAAGGGGAAGAGATGGGATTAGAAAGCAGAGCAGAGAGTAATAAAAGGAATGCTGCTGTCTGTGAGGTCACTGAGATGAGAAAGACAGATAAAAGGAAGAAGTAGGGCTATAAAGTGAAATGAGGTACAGCGCAGAGACAAGAAAAAGAGGCTATTAGGTAGAAACCGGGTATTGATTCTTACAGAATATCTATTCCCCAAACCGAGCTTCTGTTTTTTAAGACTAACGCGAAAATCTGACATGACCTCCATTTCCTCTTTGGACATTATTTGGTATTTATGGAGCCTTTCGGAGCTGCATACGCAGCCCTTGAACTTTTGCCACGTTCTGCCACGTTCAAAACCTCATATTCGACGTGTTTTATTGGCGTTACAGAGACTTTCACCGAAGGGCGATTCATCGTGAAGCGGAGGGAAAGCGACACGCGGCCAGCAAAATTCTTTACGAGTTGAAATGCCGAAAGCTTTCCTCCTCAGCCTCTTTACTCTGACGCCACAAAATAAAACGGAGCACGACCTAAATAGCAATGAAATAGGTCTCTCCACAGATCTGAACTTTATAGAGGAGCGGCAAGAAGGAAAGCCACAAGAAATCCTGTTCACAGTTTGCCACAGAGCTCACTGGTCATTACTGTCATTACAGTAGGAAGTTGGTCAGAGATGCTAAATACAGTCAAAAGAAAACCTGTTAGAGGCTGAAGAAGACTTGAGGTTGGGGTGGAGATTTACTTTCCAGCAGGACAACAACCCCAAGCTTACAACTAGAGCTACAGTGAAGCTGGTTGGATCAAAATGCATTCCCAGTCAAACTCCAGACTTGAATCTAACTGAGAATTCAAGTTCAGATGCTGGACCGGATGGATCTGGTAGAAATATCCTTCGTTGCAGCTGTGTTTGCAACGAAAGGCGGCTCTACAAAAATATCGACTCAGGGAGGTGGAAATAAAACATCTCCGAACTTCTAGTTTCGATTCCTTAATTCTTTTTGTGCAATTGTTATTTTCCTCAGTATGGCATCTGAAATCCAAATAACGTACATTACGGTTACAGTATGTAACTTCTAAAAATATAAATTTTTTGTTGCTAATTTGTTGAAACTGTCACTATGTTGTGAAGTGACAGTATGCTATGGTAAACAGATAATCTGTGAAAAAAGCAAACACCTCTGCCTTCTCCCAGCGCCAACTAGAAACAACCAATCAGCATGTGGAGGAGGGCTATTCCTGTCAATCATGCTTATGTATGCGCTGCTGACCCCCCATCGCTTCTGCAGCTTCTTCAAGACAGCAGAGCAAAGTCTAGTTAGCACCAATGACAGATGAACAGTTTTCTTTTAACCTTAAGTTATTAGTACGTTAAGCAGCATGTACAAGAAGCAAGAGGATGATTGACAGCACTAACACACTCTGGTTGATTGCTTTTGTGTGGAAGCGGTGCATCTCTTCAGACAGCAGTAGTAGCAGAGGGAGGAAGTGGAGGAGATCAATCTTTTCACAGATTACCGTCACAATTTAACAGAAAAAAACAAAAACATTTTCTATAAAAATTGCAGCTTTAAAGTTTGACGGTTGCAACATGACAAATATGAACTGGTTCAAGGGGGAACGGCATAACCACAATTTCCGTTTAACACACTATTTGCCATAAATAACCCTCGACGGAAAAAAACCCCCCAAAAAACAAAACGAATCAATGTGACTCTTGCCTGAGCGTAGGCTCCGTAGGCTCCAAACTGCAGGGCCATGGGGTTGAAGATACCCATCTGACCAGCCATCTGCTGCATGCGGCGGATGGTGCGCTCCTTATCCGTGTCAGCGAACTTTACCACCAGACTGGACGAGGCACCCTGTACGCCCACCCACACCCACGCACACACACGCACACATGCACACACACACACACACCCGGCAGGACAAGTTAGTGTGGTTCGATTGACAGAGGACATAAGCTTTCATTTGTACTTGCACACCCATGCTGCACACACATGTGCTTCTATGTTTCCTGCCAAGGCAGCGGACTCAGGGCTACAGTTGGTGCTCACTCCACTGAAAAATTTAGGATGGGTTGCATCCAAAGGACAAATCCCCTCCATGGGGATAATAAAGTTTAAAACTTTAAAAAAAGGCAATCAAGTGCTATTTAACTGTTTTGTCTATGTGACTCATTGCTTTCTCTCTCTCTCTCTCTTCACAGCCACAGGATACTCACAGGCATCGTCTGGCTGCCGTGTAGTGCACCGATGGCTGCCTGAGCTTCAGCGTGAGACGAGTATTTTACAAACGCACAACCTGAGGAAAAAGACCCGGAGAGTAGAAAAAAACGAGTAAGGTGAGAACAAAAGCAACAGCATTTCTAACAACAACAACAACAAACACACACACACACACACAAAACTGAGTAGGAGTCCAGTTCCTAGCATTTTGTTACACTACTGGATGGTCGACAAAACGAGCCGCTCTGGCACCATTACCGAGTCTGGGATCCGCAGCGTTCTGACGCCGCTTCACACTGACAAGTGTCACTGATGAATCTGAACGGTCACGTTCGCAGTAATTATCGGGCAAATCCAGCTGAGTAAGCGGGCTGACGGAGCCTCGTTAATGGAGCTTCATGCAGGACTCGGAATGATCAAGCACGCTGCAATTATCAAGCTTAGTTGTCACCGAACCTCACTGATTGGCTGCTGAACCCACCGCTGAACTTTACCCAGTGAACTTGTGGAGCAGCCCGAGAAGCATTTTAAAACAATCTTTTTTTTTTTTTTTTTTTTTATGTACCGGGACATGAAGCCTGAGGTTAAACGAGGAAGTTTTGTTAATCTTCCCTCCTTCGTTCGGGTTCGTCTCATGTTCAAATTTGCAGAATGAAACGGTTGTTCTGTGTTGCATTTCTTTTCGTGGTCATCAGCTTGCTCGCTTGTGTGTCAGAGAGGCAAGAAAAGAAAAGCCGCCACTGTCACAAAGTCTACCTTTGCTGTTTCCGTCGGGACCTCGGAGGATGGTGCACTCCTCGATGCTGCCGAAGGACTCAAAGAGGCGCCGCACGTCGTCTTCCGACTGCTGCTTGTTAAGCATGCCCACAAAGAGCTTTCTGTCTTCTAAAAAGAAAGGGAGAGGAGGTCATGATCAGAGGATCAGATGTGCCTTCAGATGGAAGCCTCAGGAATACACAGAAAAGGAATCAAAGGCAGGTTTAGCGAAAGCCTTAGCGTGGATCAGTTTTGATACTGGAGGTATAATGCACAAGCGAGCGTGTTGTCCGTGCGGTACGCAACGCAGCAAAAGCAAAATATGGTAGCTAAAATGCTGCAGTCTTGAAAATTTTGGTCGCACTCTTTTTATGGTAAGCCGTCAAATGCTGTTATATCTTCAAAGTACATGTTCATTTATGGCTGTGTGTTGGGATAACGGGTAAAAGTTACAGCATTTTACTGATTTGAGACAGAATTTCACCATGTCTTCCTGACCATCAAGAGATGAAAGTGTAATGGCCTAAACAAAGTTAATGAGTGACCCCAGGTTGGGTCGATGATTGTTAGCTGAATTCATTTCATGAGTTGCAGCATACCAATGGGCGTACATCTTCATCGGTGTAGACGGAGCGTCTTCATAACGTAGCAAGACGTAAAACAAGTTTGTTACCAGGTTGTTGCTGATACATTTGAAAAGCCTTTCTGCTCGTTTCGTACCAGTGCCGAACATTTGGCGTCCCAGAGTTGCAAATCTCATGCCGCAGGGTTTTTTTTTCCCAACGTGTCAAAAAATTATGAATCCGTGGCAGTTTGTCTTAGTTGGGCAGAATTGGGAATAACAAATGCAGATGGTGTAGTCCTCAATGGGGTCTCGCAAAGGCTTATCCGGGCCCCAATTATGGAGGGCGCTGAAATAATTTGATAGCTAGAAGACATGTTATTTTTTTTTTTTTAAAGAAAATGTGTTTTCCCATGTCACTGTGAGAGGAGTTATTAGATGGATTTGTGTGCAGAGAGCCAATCTGCAACTATTTAAAAACAATAGCCTCTCTTTTAACGTAGCCTTCAACACCAAACATGTCAAGAAAGTTAACTTTCAATGGATTCATCTCAGCTCCTTCTTTGGGCCGCGCTACATTGCTCCAAACGAGGCCTGGCATAGTTGTTTTGGCTGTTCTTTGTAGGGATGACGACGTTTATTTAATTCACCGCTGAAACACGAGGCAGACGTGGGGCGGCGGTGGGTCACTTTAGCGATGCTGAACATCCATTTGAAAACAAAACAGTGAGGAGAAAAACAAACGGCCGTTTAAAACATTAATAGAAAGATATACTAGTTCAATCAATGATAGGTAATTCCAGTTTACTTGAAAGTCCTTTTGCTGTTTTTATTAGTATATAACTGAGGAATGAAAGTAGTTCAAAATGCCATTTAAAACCAGTCCAAAAGTTACCAGCTGTTCTCAATAGCATTTTTTTTGTTGTTGTTGTTGAAATGCTTTTTACCAGCGAGTCCAAACCCTTCACGGCTAAGGGGAAGACGTTGCCATCGGTTGAAAACTCACTTCTGTTCATCGACTGCACACCCGAAGAGGCCGGTTCGGTGGCGCTGGAGTAAATAAATGCTGCAGTTATTCAATTAGTTCTGGACTTCATCTGCAGCCCCTTGCTTTGTACCATCTGGACTCTGTGCCGGTAATAATGCCACAGCACAAACAGGCTGTGCAAAGCTTCCCTCTTTCCACTTCTGGCTGTGCTTTAATGTTGCAGGTCATTAAAAAGGCTCTTTTTTTTAACTCTATTGAGATCTGGGTAGTCACTCCTGCTTGATTTTACAACATATAATACTGCTACGGCAATAACATACAAGAGAAATCAAAGGAGGATAAAGAGCTCTTTTCTGAAGGTTGGACAGTGCGTATTAGAGCTTTTTGCTTTGAGAGATAATTTCCTGTCTGCAACATGCGAGTAACAGCTACAGCACAGGTTCCTTTTGAAAGTTTAATAAAAGGGAGAAAGAAACTAAAATAACACGTTACATTTTATGGCCGGAACCTGTCACACAAATCTGACATTTTTTCTTTTTTCCTCAGAATCAGAAGATCCTACTTCCTGTAGATAAGGAATTGCACCTGTCGCAGGTGTCAGGCAAGAGAAAAGACAGATGCGTTGGTGTTCCTGTCCTCAGGGCTCAAATCTAGCTGCAGTCTAAGTTCAGCTCCGCCGGATCTCACTCTGTGTGGAAACCACAAGCTTGCCGGCATCGTTATTAACTGCGCATCAAAAACTACAGTTCAATCATCTCCAGCCAAAGACCAGCCCGAGTGCAGCTCATGGCTACATTGATCTGCATGGAATTATAACATTTTTACATCATATAGTTTTAACAGCAAAACTGTATGAAATAACAACAAAACATTTTTTTTTCCTATAATTAGTTTGAACAATTCTTTAGTTTCTGCAGACTTACGAGCCGCTTTGTCGTCTGTAGGTCTCTTAAATTCAACCAAAAATTATAAACTTGCAACATGTTAAAGAACAGAACAGGGTTGGGCATGTTTTTTTTTAAGAAAATCAATATCTTAATAATGAGAAATATAATAAAAAATCTGATCATTTCTCCTTGTGAAATGCTGATTTCATTTTCCAGAAGGTCTCGACGTCTGCCTACTATCCCAAAACTACTAATTCCTACTTTGACAACATTCAGCAAACTCAGGAAATTGAGGGAAAGGGAACAATGACCATTGTACTGTATTAAGATACATGCATCTCAGGAAAAATCTTCTTCCAGATCTTGAGTTTACATCGGCTGTAATCAAAATGAACGGATATTATACGGGACAATGCAAAACAATGCTTGAAATACATTGTTTGTGTTATGAATGTATATAATATTAAAATAGAATATTTAGGACTAATTTACTGGTCACATTTTTTGATATACAAAAAGATCAGGAAGTGATCTTTCAATCTAACACAAGTCAAATCTATGATTTAAAAGTGGACTAGAGCACCGGCTTACGTTTGACAAAAGAAGCGCGTCGACGTGTTTCCCTTTCCTCGCATCCCATAAACATTCGGATTTGCGGGGAACGGATGTGTATGTTTAGAAATTGATGAGCCGCACAGCAATCGCCTGCAAAAAAAAAAAAAACGCGCTCTGCAAATTAACGTGTGTGCAGATGCGGATTCTGTGCGGGCGCCTGCAGTGTGAGGGCGCGCGTTGCCCCCCCGTCTGCCTGTGCTTAACAGGGCGTCCTTGCCGAGTCAACAAGACTAATCTGCGCTCCGGCCTTGCACCCGGTGGGCTGGGTTGGAACGACGAGTGTTTACAAGAGTGCTCCTCATATCACAGTTGGAGGGACACACACCTATGCAGAAACACACGCACACACGGGTCTCAGAAGGTCCGACTCTTTAGCATCTTCATGGGAAACATGAGGTGGAATCTGAGTATTATGTGCATTTTCACTTTTTCACACACGTGCAGAGAGTGCAGGCCAGCGCATCGTCCTGATAGGTTTACTGATGTTTTACTAGGATGTTTAAAAACTCTTATTTTATGGCTGATATCAGAAATCCTCTTTATTCACAGTCGCGTTGGTTTTAATCGCAATGCTTTATAGATTTCCAGCATCTCACCTTAAAACACAATTTTTATTAGAAAGCTTAACGTTCCCAACACATAAATACCTACAAAGGAATAGCTTAAAATAAGCTGTGCCTTGTTTTATATTTTCTAATAGTGTTATTTTTTTTTTATTCTTCAGCTATAATCTCAGGCAGACAAAGTGTCGATCTTGAATTTGTTTTCTTTCCAATTCTTCCAACAAACCCGGATACGTTTGTGACAATTTAATATTCTTTAAAGGCTTGGCGGATGTTTCAGTTTATTTTCAACGTTTAATCTTCAGTTGTGAGTTGGTTTTGCCGTCCCGACAGTCGGACGTGTTTCTCCGGTGGAACAAACGTCGTAAAGGAACGGTCAGCCCCCCAGACTGAGCAAGAACTACAAAACACTACAACACACAAATATTCGGACGAATATCCTCCAGCAAGTCGCAGCCAAGCCTCTTTGTGTTGCAGCCGTCAGCAGGACCTCAGGCATGTTTCTGGCCAAAGGTTTCACTCCTCCTCTTATCAGAATCGGTAAAGCTCCTTTTAATCGATTGGTTCTCTTGCTTTAACGTGTGATCTATTATTTTTTTTTTTTTTTTTTTTTTTTTTTATGGGGCTGAAGTTGGAGTCGGTCCAGATGCTTAATGTTGTTCTGGTTTGTCCGGTCCAAACCCAGTTTGGATGTGTGTGTGTGTTTGGGATCGTGGTCCAGTTGCGACACCGAACATTTCAACCACAAAGCTGTTTATCTGAGATAAAGTGAAATCATTTCAAGGTAGTCTTTTATTTTCATTATTCCACCCACTTTGTGCAGTTCATCAATATCGCTGTCAGAGACACAGACCCTCAGCATGATGCTACCACCACCGTGTTTGGGATTTGATGCAAAATGAAATCTGCTAGCCTCCTCATGTCTAGACTTCTCTGTCACTGGAACCAAACAGCTCAATCTTTATGAAATCTGACCAGTTTGGTTTACCCGTGTGGGCATTTGTTTGTGACTCTGGTGTCCCTGTGTTTCCTCCTGGGTGGGTCTTGAACATCATGAGCGTCTCCTGTCATCTAAAGTTGACGGTTTTGGTGTCAGACGGCCTGGAAGCCGGAGTTCCCGACCCGACAACGATCCAAAACCCATCAAAATTCATCACGGGAGCCTTGCATTAAGCTTTCTCTGTGGCGGTCCAAAAACCCTGGTCTCAGTCCTACTCATAATTTGTGGACTGTGATTAAAATCTGAGTCAGTGCCAGGAAGCCAAACTATTTAAATGAACTCTCTACCCTTTCTAAAAAGAAAAAAAAAGAAAAGTGGTCAAATCTCCAGCCTGAACAAAGCCTCGACTGTAACGTGCTAAATAACATTCATCCAAATATTAGATATTAGTGGGGTTATGCATTATGTGAGCCTGTATGTATGGATTTTAGAAAATTTGCATTCATTTAAAACTTTTACACACAATTTCTACATCTGGGGATTTAATGAAGTTGCTTTTTGTATGAATATTCCTACTTGGAAAAAACAAAAAACAAATGTATAATAATTAAATATCTCAAAACGTTATAATATCCGTACTCATGATGGATGTGTAAACTTCAGCTGAGTGTTTTATGTTCAGTGCAGGGGACGGATTTGGATTTGCTCTGATTTCTGTCCAAGCTAAACAAAGTTCAAACTTGTGTTTTCTGGGGAGAACAATGAGGGAAGAAATACTTTCCTGAACATCCTGCTGAACAGACAGTAAACAGATATCTCTCTATTTAAGCCTTTCCTTCTCTGAGGCGCCGTTAAACTCGTCAGTCTTTAGTTCCATACATTTACTCTTCTGTCATTTCTCTAAATGTGTCCGGTTTTTCCGCATTCCTGATCTGAGCAATGCGTTTGCATTTATTTTTGGACTACGTTAGGAACTTTAATTATTCCAGTTTCAAATCACTAACTTGTGAATCCTTTCGGCAACTGCAGCAAGCATGTTACGAACGCTGGCAATGATATGCTTTCAAAAGTGGCCATTAATTTACGACAGACCAACACAAAGTACTGTATAGTTGAGATGTGAATGATTTTACCTCACTTTAAACTATTTCTGAACAAAAATTGATCTATCCTGCCAGGAGAACTTTGTAAGTGTTTGTAAATGTTCTTTTCTTACCTCGACCTGTCAAAGGACTGCAGATGTGATGCCTAAAAGTTATAATCTGGCACCGGGCGTCACATGGAGACATTTACTTAATTTAATTGAACATTGTCTCTTTTTAAGTAAAAATTAAAGTTCAGAGTCAAAACGATCAATCACGCACTTTTAAGCACAACAGGCTGACCAAAAGGCACTTAAAGTTCAAAAGGTCATAAAAATCCAATTATCACTCCTACTACTACAACTAATGATAATTTTACTGTGGATTTTATGGTTTTATGATTAGGGGGTCTACTTTTCTCTGATTTACGCAGTAAGCTGCACTGCATTTTATTTAGTTGTTTCGTAGTAAAGGGACCACCGTTATTCATTTACTTTTTAAAACATTTTTTTTTATTTTCCTTCCCCTTCACACTCATGCACTGCTTTGCGTCCACCCACCAGATAAAACGTCCGTTGCGTCTGAGCCGCCCTGCCAGGCACCGTGCTCCCCTTTCCCACTCGGCTCCGTGAAACGTCTGTGCCCTGGTGGCGCGGCGTTTAGCTTTGAAACATCGCAGCGTGGAGAACAGATGAGAGACGTGAGGGAAGGACATCCGTACGGGAGCAGATAGACCTCCCGTACAGACGCGTATGCATGTCTTCCGCCGCTCGCTCTTTGTTTCCTCACGCTCGCTGCTTGCTTCAGTTTTCTCCCGCTCCATCAATCATCCTCCACTCCCCCGCCTCTCTCCCCCTCACCCCCACACACACACACACACACACACACGCACCGGCAGCAGGCAGACTAAATAGAGGAGGATGTTGCACAGCCTCTCTTCCTTTCTTTAAAGGTTATTTTCTTTTCTTTCTTTTTTTTACTACAGGGTAACACCTCTCCTTTCTCTCCCTAGACTTCTGCTGCTCATCAACCTTTAGCCGCTTCCATGTTCCGTTGCTGTTTCTCTCCCCTCTTACTTGAGGATAAAAAAAAAAGAAAAAAGAAAAAAATCATTTGTTGCCAATTTTATTAACCACTTGAAGGTCTGAGACACTCTGGACAAAAAGATGGCTTCGGTCTTATCTCGCGCAGCCCTGTGATTGATGTCAAGAGTGGGTCGCCAAATGTCTAGACGTAGAAAATTTCCTTTTAGCCATCTTGGCTGTCAATAAAGCTCCCCGCGTGAACCCCCCCCCCAAAAAAAAAAAAAAAAAAACCCAAACACCTTTTTACCCCTGCAGAACTTCTCATTTAATCTGCGCTTTGCCGTGACACAAGTCAAACAGGGTTCGCATTGTTGCAAACTGATTTTTAAAGGTGTTTTTGACAGAGGAGGCAACTTTGTTTTCCTGCATGACAAGACGTGTGCTTTTCTTCACGTTGCATACGACGACAGACAGGAGCTGCAGGCTGAGCCGGCCGGAGTGGGGCGCGGGGGTGGGAGGGTGTGTGTGTGTGTGTTTGGGGTGGGGTGGTGGGGTTTGTTTACATAATGCGTTCTGAGCCCTGGAGGGTCCGGGGGCCAGGCTGCGCTGTCAGCCCGCGTCGAGGCGCTGGCCGTCGTCTCGACGGGACAGATAATGGTGAAGCTGATGTATGCAGGCAGCATGGTTGGAGTAAAAAGAAAGGGAGGGTGGAAGGAAAATAAAGTAAAAAATTTTTTTTAAAAAGCAAGGAAGGGCATACACTACCTCCTCGACTCTCACTATCTGCTGGCTTCACCTGGATCGGTCTGTTCATCTGTGACAGTTTGAGGGGAAAAAGAAAAAAGAGGAGAGGGAACAAAAAGAGAGAAAGAAGAAGAAGAGACCGGTTAGCATCATGTAATGGTTGCATGCTTTCACCCCCCCCCTCCCTCACCCCCCTTCAGTACAACTTTCGCAGAATGACTCAAGCAAATGACAATTTAAGTGCATTAGAAATCTCCAAAGCTGCAGCGCTCGTGGCCGTTGGGGAAATGGCTTGTTGGGAGTTTGGGCTGGAAATATTATTTGATCTGAGATGAAAGGGGGAGAGAAGGGATCAGCAGAGGGAGGACAGGAACGACGGAGGAGAGATAACAGGGGGTCAGCGGAGCTATGCGAGCGCCATCATAATTCACTGTGTTGAATATCGATACGAATTCACACACACATTTATTCAGAAGTCTTTGTGAGGCACGCCTCTACCCGTTCTGCAGCTGCAGACACTGAAAGCTCTGCCTTATTTTCTTTAGGAAATACCTGGAGCTCAGTTAGACTGAACAGAGCAGGACTGTATGCAACCATCTCCCAAGTCTTTCTGGACGCTGGACGTGGGTCACTTTTTTTTTTAACTCGGCCATTCTAACCCACTTCCTCTCTCTCTCTAAACTGCACCGCTGTAGCTCGTTGTAGCGGTATGTTCAGGCTTGTTAACCAGCTGGAAGGCGAACCTCCGATCTGCAGGTTTCCTCTGATGATTCCCCTGTATTTCGCTCCATTTGTCTCAAAGTCCTACCAGCTTCCCTACACATACTGATGAAGCGCATCCTCACAGCGTGGTGTCGTCACCACCGCGTTTCATCGTTGGCACAGGGCAGGCGGATTGTTAGTTTTTTTTTTTTTTTTGTGGCTCGATTGACGTTTCATCGAATGTTGAAAGCTTTAAGTATTATGACCTGATCCTGCTTTAAATTTCTCCACGTCTTTCTCCTGCCTGGTGCGTTCCTTCGTCTTTATGATGCCATTTGTTCACTAACGTTCAATATCTACCACTGAAATTTTGTGCCTCACAGTAGAAAAATGTGAAAAAAGTTCAAGCGATATGAGTCGGGCACCACAGTACAAACTCCTCCTGCATTAGTTCTCAAACTGCTGGTTCACACTACAAAATGTCCTGGCCAATCTTCTTTTAGTACTTACACACACACACGCACACACACGTCTACACACTCTCTGTCCCCCACTGAGACCTTTCCACACTATGTCCGCCGAGGCTCTCCTTTCATTTCACTCCTGCCTGTCAAAATTTCCCTCTCCGCCTCGCCACCCTGCTAAACGCTCTCCGCCAATCAATTTTTAATAATGCCAATCGCCACGCTGCCAGGAGGGATGGAGGGAGAGGAGGAGGAGGGAAGGAGGAGAGGAGATGGTGCAATCTGAAGGATGAAAGGTAAAAGAAAAGAGTTGGAGGTTTTTATTATTATTATTTTCTGGTGCGATCTGTGTTTTGCAAATCGCCAATATGCTTTTTTTTTCCTTTTTTTTTTTTGAGTTCGTGGATAAAGTCATCATCTTTACGATGCTGCGAGCTTTTTCGCGTCCACACGGGGCGAAACATTTCAGCCCACACCTCCGCCCTTCTCCGGCGGCTCGTATCAAACCCGACCGTTCTCCACAACGCTTCACTTAAAAAACGGATCAACCCCATCCCTCCCCATCTCGTCTCCTCCCTCCCTTTGACGGGCCGAGAGAACCCTACTAATGTTTGTAATGTGCTGTGATGCATTATTTATCAGACTGGCTGTTGATATGGAAAAAAGGACGAGCGGGGATAAGGAAAACGGACAGGGGGAGTTGGAACGAGTAAAAGAGCGAGAGCGCGCGAATAAAGGAAGTCATCAGAGGGTAAGTGGGGGGTGCAGAAGGCAAACAGAAAGAAAAAACATTAAAAGAATGAGGTGGAGTCGGATTGCATGTGAGGCAGGTGTTTGAGGAGAGGGAAGTGTGGTGATAAAGAAAAAAGAAAGGAGGGGAAGACAGAGGGAGGAATCAGGAAAAGAGAGCATAGAGGGGAGATGAGGACATAGATCAGAGTACGCCACAAGGTCAGCCCAATGCTCCCAGGGGGCCCATAAGCCTGCATACATATGAGCACTTTTACCATGACCCATACAAATGCTGCGGCCTCAGTCTGACCTACTTGTGTTTCTCCACTGGTGGTTTTTGTTGTATTATTTTATGTAAGTGCAGATTTCAGCCTGGAGTCCATGATGGAGCTGACTGTATTGGTTTTAATTTCACAGTGGGAGAATACACTAAAAGAAAAATCATATAAAGTTAGTTCTAGTTTTATTAAAACCATAAGTCTTCATTCCTAACATGCAGAATTACAGTGATTATAGATACATCGATGAATCCCTTAATTCGTCACTGCTAGTTGAGCAACAGAGTGCAAAATGTCCGCTAATAAAATTTTAAATACCGCTCGGAACGTGGCGATGTGGTTAAACCATTATTTTCTTTTGTCACCAAAGCCCGAGTGGTGTTTCATGGGCTCTCTATCAGTGGGTTTCCATTATCCCAAGGCCCATAACTGCTTCAAGGTCAGTTTTATCATCCCGCTCATAATGGGGTGAGTTAGCACCGGCCCAGCGGACGGCCGATCCCAAAACTGTTGTTAAAGGCAGACGCTGACTCGCCCGGATGGGCCCCTCGAGGAATTCTGCAACGGCGCCCGCCGAAGCCAGATGGCAGCGTTGAGCAGGAGAAACGTCTAATGCCAAGTGGGCAGAAAATTGCCTTCCACAGGAAAAGGAACTGTGGGGGGGGGGAGGGGGGGTCGGGCGTTTATACATATGTATGTAAAGTTGAGCGCGTACAAAAGCTTGGCCCGTCCACAAACACACAGCACCGCAAATAAACGAAAGCAACCAACCATGCATGGGAACGATGGCGGCTCTCGCATAAACGGAGCCCTGGGCCAGTCTGTCCTCCTGCAGCCCCATAAATAAGACAAAGTCATGAAGCAAAACCCATTACAAAGAATAACAAAACAACTCCTTTCTGTTGTGTAACACAGGGGATTCAGTAAGAGCTGAAAATAGTCATCTGATATTAAATGACCAGATAGACAGAAAACGTTTGAGCTCCGCCTGCCAAACCTGCATTGGGAGAATCTCAGACAGGAGACATAGAACAACGTACTGCCATGCGGCCGACTTGAATCTACTTATCTATCTTATATTGAATCTACTCTGACGTTTGTATTTTCATGTCATACGCTAAGCATCGTAGATGAGAATCTTATACGTACAAGAAATGGCTACAGCTTCTGAAGAGGACAGCGATATATCTGACAGTAACGATTCTGATGATAGTGATGATTAGAGAGCTTTGGTTCACACGGCTTTGAGACCAACTCATGTTCCTGATTTCAGAGTCGTTTTTGAGTAAAGCTTTAGAGTAACTTCCTATAGTTTAAGCTGTAATGTGATACAGGAGCTTCTCGCTAATAAAAATATTCGAGTATTGTGACAATATCTGAATACCTGTTGCTGCAATGGTCTGTTTAGTAATTTGTAAAAAAAAAAAACATCAATGTGATTTTTGGCAAATTGCAGAACATTTTCTACGGACATGTTCGGCATCAGTGCAACAATTCAGCGCATTTTGTTTTTTCATTACAGATTCAATGCTTGTCACGCTGTACAGCCCTGCGGTTTTCAAGATTTTATAATGAAAATATATCTGCAAGGTCTGCACGTCGGTCAACATGTCCGGCGCCCGTTCCCATTAACTGGCCTTTCAAATGGGCTGCAGAAAACCTGTTAGAGACTGACTTTAGCTTTTCTACACGACTAGCATACGGAGGCCATCGACCTCGGCGCGGCCGTCCTGAGTTCGACTCCCGTCTTTGGTTCTTTTGACGCACGTCTTCCTTTTCTCTGCTTCAAATAAAGACCAGTAGTGCTGAAAATATTCTTAAAAAAAAAACAACAACCAATTTTTCTTTTCTCTCATGAGATCCCTTTGTGGTGTACCACCTGTTTTTTTTTTTACGTAGAAACACCAGCGTTGTCATACATGGACTTCATTGTTCTACAGTTGCTGAAAATCCAACTTCAGCAGCTTTGCGTCAGGTTGGCTTCGGCGTGCCGCGCGAGGAGAGTCGCAGCTTCAAGAATGCACGAGGCCTGCATTCATGCGCGCTCTCGCATGCGCGCTCGCTCTCACGCACACGCGCTCTCGCCTCTGTTGATTATGTAACTCAATGACGGCGCTCTGCCTCAGCTCTGCCATAGATTCCCCCCGTTAACTAGAAGGGTTGGGAGTACAAAGTCTGCATGCAGGCTGTGTGCTGTACCAAAACTGGTGAGTCACTCCTCTGACTCAGCCTGGCACGGCCTGAGAGTCCAGCAGGGCCCCTCAACAGCGGCTCCACAGTTTACCTTATTGGATTTAACCGCGATACGGGACAAAACTGCAGCCTTTGATCTGAGTTTTACTGCTTATTGTATTGATTTCGCTGCATGAAAGCTGCAGAAATTAAGTTACGAAAACACTGTTACGATGACAACTCTATGGGATTTCAAGCAGCTGGATTTCTGTACGCTGCCCTGTTATGTTCAATATGCTTCAAATGCACTTTATTACAAGTCATTTGGAGCGGTTTTAGCGTCCACTAAGCCTCACACACACGTGCGCGCGCGCACACACAAAGTAGCGCGTGCACGCCGAGGGGGAGCGACGCAGAGAGCTCACAAGGACACAGAAGTCCGCACTCACTCAAACTGCCATCATTCTCCGAGAAAGAGAATATTGAAAGTATGCTTTACGAAACTCGAGAGAGGAGGCAGGATTTTCTCATTTTCACCCTCGTCTCGCAGATGTGTTTTTGAGAGAGAGAGCAGAGCGGTGCAGGCCAGGTCATTTCATTATCACAGTGAGAAAGCACTCCATGAAACTCTCCCAGGGAAGCAAGGAAGGCTGCTCATAATATTCCACCTCTACCATTGTCACAACTCTCTCTGTTTTACATTCTGCAGCTAAAAGCCTTTT